GATTAACAAATGAATATTATACAATCAATTTAATCATTAATATTTTTTTTAAAAGAAAACTTGAAATCACAGATGCACATCTATAACTGTAATATATATATCAAAATTATTGTACATTCTACAAATTCCTAAAAGAAATTGAGAAAATATTTGACTTTGAACTGGTATTGTCTTTCTATAGCTTTAGAATTCTTTTTTTGGAAAAATATTTGATTTTGAATGTTTTGCTTAAATCATGGAAATTATGTGAATTTATTGTTACCATCTTTTGTGCTACTGTTACCATTTATTAAAAAAAAAATTTGTATAAATTTAATTAAAAATTTTTTTTATACAAATTTGAAGTCACTTAACAAACTAAACTATATCCATGGAATGTAATTATTTAAACTATACCCACAAAATGTAATTTCATAAAATATGTTTGTCATATATGAAATTTCCCCATATATTTTTTGTATGAGTGGGTGGGGTGGGGTGGGGGTTGTTTTAAAGTATGAAATTTTTGAAAATATTTTATAAATTTTAGATTTGAAATAAAATAATAGTGCGGAGAGATTAAAATAATAAATCATTGCGGTACTTTTATTTTATTTTTTTATTTTTTTAAGGTGAAATATTTTATTAAGGTAGAATGTCATATGACAAAAAAAATTCAAATAAAAAATAATGTAATACACACATCATTTAAATGTGCTTCTCAAATTAATAAGAAATAATCTAGATGTGAAACTAAAAAAAAAAATTAAATATATTTTTTATACTTATCTCATAAATTAATTAAGTTTCTTTTGTATCCCCTATTTTATTGATTATTCAAAAATGAAAGATGTTCCTCTTAGAATTTTCAACTACTTTAAATGGATTTTCCTTTCATTTAAATCCAAAATTTCATAATAAACAGAATCATTAAAAAATAATTATAAAACCCGGCATGATGCTCCAACTTTTATATTTTCAAATTCTAACGAGGAAAATGGTTTCCAAAAAATATTTATTTATTTTTTGAATAAATTTTATTCATTAAGAATAATCAAGATCTTCTTATTTTTTAATACACCCATAATTTTTTTTTATATAACTAGAAAATATTTGTAAGTAAATTCAAATCTTCCGTTTCATTCTTGTTAAATTCATAATTTACAAAATAGTTTTATTAATGGGTTTCCCCACATATTACGTTTCGTGTGTAAATTTAAAAAAATAAAAATAATAATGAATTTAATATTTAAATTCAACGAATTAATATCCCTTTCTTTTTCTATTTTTTTCAAGCTACTCTTGTTTTATCGAAAA